TTTTTTTTTTTTTTAACGTTTATTGATTTTTGAGACAGAGACAGAGCATGAATGGGGGGAGGGTCAGAGAGAGAGGGAGACACAGAATCCGAAGCGGGCTCCAGGCTCCAAGCTGTTAGCTCAGAGCCTGACACGGGGCTTGAACTCACGGACCATGAGATCATGACCTGAGCTGAAGTCGGACGCTTAACTGACTGAGCCACCCAGGTGCCCCATTCACTGCTCTATTTCTAATATCTGAGCAGGACCTGGTGCAAAGCAGGCCCTCAGATATTTTTGGATGAGCAACTAGTCATTTTTGTTAAGCAACTAAAACTAGTCCTTGGTTTATAATAGGTGTTTAATAAATATTTATGAAATGAATGGTTGGAGACATTTTATTCCCAGAAAAACAGGCATATAAACAAAGTAGTGCATAAGCTTTCACAGAGTTCATGAACTGCTATGAAATTGTTCATAAACCACAGATGAGGAATGTTTGGTTTTTGAAAATCAAATTAGGAGTTTTGCAAAAAACTTATTCCTGTGGAAATTGATACATTGACATAGGTGCTAAGAAGAGGGTTTTTATGTAAGCCCGTAAAACTGTATCTGTAATAAATATATCTTGTGTTTAAGATTGGCTTCTTTACGTCTGGACTTGAGGTATTTTTCACTAATGGTTTTAATCCAGAAAAGTCTCTGTTTTGTAACCACCTGAATGCCACATTTTGGTGTGTTAGACTCCATTTCGAATAAGGACTCAGTGGTAGGCTAGTCTGATGTGTCAGGATTTTTAAATATGTTAAAATAAGTCTAATTTCCATCTCATTCCTAAAAAAAATATGAGATTTTGATTCACTACATTGATCTTGAATACTATTTGGAGAAGGGTAAGACATTTCTAAAAGTAAATGTAGTGCTGTTTTAGAAATTGGGTCATTAAAATATTTGTAGCCAATTTCCTATTAACACAGTCCATTTAGTTTGTTAGACTTTCTAATTATGTTTCTTTTGCAACAAGAGTTCTGATTGTTCTTCTCTTGGATTATATATACATTTATTCCATAAATGTACAAAGAAACCCAACTCTTTTAGTGTTCTAATAAAAGACTTAAAGTAGGAAGTGCTTAGTGACTTGGCTTCCAGAGAGTACAGTATGGAAGGATGGGGGAGAAGTACTACCTGGAGAAACCTGGCAAACTCCCTCAACCAAGGGATCAAGGTTAACATCTTCAGTGATAAGTCATATTGAGATAGTATATACCCTTGATATGTTAGAAGGAGGACCCTTCACCTAAGTTGTAGTCTTCCCCAAAACCCAAAACTCCAGTCTAACCATGAGAAGAACATCTAAACATGAGACAAACCCAAATTGAGGGACATTCTGTAAAGTATCTGACAAATGCTCCCTCAAAACTGTCAAGACCATCAAAAGCAAGGAAAGTCTGAGAAATTGTCATAGTCTAAAAGAGACTAAGGAGACTTGATGACTAAATGTGATATGGTATCCTGGATGGGATTTTGGAACAGAAAAAGGGCTTTAGGGAAAAATTAATGAAATGTATCAGTGTTCATTAATTGTAACAAATGTACCACCATATTAACATAACTTGTTAACAATGGGAGAAAGTGAGCGCTGGATATAAAGCAATACTCTACTACCTTTGGGCCTTTTCTGTAAATCTAAAATTATTCTAAAATTAAAAGTTTGTTTTAAAGAAACCCTTAATCATGAAATCAGAATTGCTTTGGGAGAGGCAAGGAGGCCCACTTTCACTACTTCTCTTCAGTGATGCAGTAATAGAAAAAATATAAGGGAAAAATGGAATAAATTTTGGGGAAAAAATTGGTCTGCTTATCCCTGGAATTCTGATAGGAGAGAGGGCATTAGTTGGCTTAGTTTAGCATTTCTACTGAAATGATATGAGTTATCATCAGGAATTGTGGTCACGAGAAAGAATAGAAATCCTTTTCGAGGAGCCTACCTTTATAGGCAGACAGGAAAACTAAGTAATGAAAAGAATATTTAATTTTAACGTTAGAGAGAAAGATGTTTGAAAGAGCTGATGGATTTCTATATGAGTTTTATATGAGTTTTAGATAAAGTTTCAAATACTACTTTTCCTTATGTATTGAAAGATGCCTTAATAACCGAACCTTGTTTCTCTGTGTAAAAATATAGTTTGTATTCTGCTGGTGTTGAAGGACAGCTGTCACTAAAATAAATAATTTGTTGGAATAATATCTTAATGGGGGTTAGAAAATTCAGACAGTGAGATTTATTTGGTTTATTTTCCCTCAATAATAAAACTGAAGTCTCATGTACAGTCCAAAGCACCTCTCTTCCTATTCCCTCTGCCCCCAACAGTACCTGGCACAGGCTTGACACAAATTTGAAAACCTACTCTAGTGTGCCCTTTTGCTCTCTTTGCACCTGTTTTCCACTTCTCACCCACTCAGTATGCTGCTAGGGAGAGAAGGGTTAAAAGGTAGGGACAAGATCTTATTTTACTGGTCTGATGAAGTTTTAAAACATAAACTTGACTAGTAAATTTTTAGGTAACTAGCATATAAGATAGGTAATCTGACTGGTGGATAGAATTATATAAAAAGAAAGGCACAGACTTCCAGGAAAAGTGTGGATTTGAATACTGATTCTTGACATAAGCTTCAGGTTTTCATTTTTTTTTTTTTAATCATAAGTGAGGTTTGTAACGATTTCATTTAATATGCATAGAAGTATTTAGTTCAGTGTCTGTCAGCATTCAGGACTCAGTAAATGGAACAACCTGTTTTCAAAGTGGCATGATTTGTGTGTGTGTGTGTGTGTGTGTGTGTGTGTGTGTGTGTGTGTGTGGTAGTTTTGACAGTTGCAGATTAAAGTCTTACGAGGATTAAAAATCTAGTGGTGTGAAGACTAAAAAGATTATTCACTAAAATTTTATTGGAAGACCTGTTAGAGATCCCATTTGAGGTGTCCTTTTTCTCCTCTAAGGTTGCTTACCTGTTCCTTGTAAGGAGAGGGCAATTAGAAATTAGAAATTTAGAATTCTTGAAAAATGTATGTCTATAACAAAATTCAAGAAAAAAATACAAAGAAAATTAAAAACCAGTGAGTAGTACCATCCAGTTAACATTTTCACGTATATCTTTTCATATATGTATGAATATATGTATATATATGAATGGAATTTCATATATATAAGAATTTGTATGTTAAAATTTTCCATTAGGAGGGGATGTTAGGTAGAGTTAGATAGGCAAGTTCACAGGATCTTTTTTGGCAAATTGTTACTGGTTATCTGTGTTTTGTATCAGAGTAGATGTGATGCATAAGAATTTGTGTGTTAAAATTTTCCATAGGAGGGGGTGTTAGGTGGAGGTGGATGGGCAAATTCATAGGATCATTTTTGGCATTGGGCTTTTCAGCATTTGGTTTTTGCTTATTCAAATTTAAACTCATCATCTGGTGGAGATTTAATGTTGAAGGTAAATGCATATAGGGATGAACCCATCTGGAAACATTAAAGAAACCTATAGAAATGCTTGCTTTAAAAAGAAGAGAGATGGGGTTCCTGGCTGGCGCAGTTGGAGGAGTGTACAACTCTTGATCTCAGGGTTGTGAGTTTGAGCCCCGCGTTGGGAGTAGAGATTACTAAAAAAAAATAAATAACGGAAAACAGTTTTTCATTTGTAGTGGCAAATGTGGTGCTTTATCTTAAGATGATTAAAAAGCAATGAATTTTAAAAGTCTGGTCTTGAGTTACTGAATTACTGCTACTTGTCCACTAAACTGTCTTGGTGTTATGTTCTCCATATTTGTTGACTAAGTACTTACAGTATGGTTATAGCCCAGTCCTTTAAAGCAATCTCCCCCATTTTAAGTATATTTCTAATGTTTGTAAAAACATGTTTATAATTGCAAGGAAAAAAGGAGGTAACAAGTAAAGGCCAGTATATTTAGGGGCATTTGGGGGGAGGTTGCTTTTCCCATGCTATTTTTATTAATTTTTTTTTCTGTATTTACTGGAAAGATAATTTATATGCTTTGGTTTGTTTGTTTGGTTTTTTTTAAAGGGCCAAAGGTTGTAGTTAGAAGCAAATCTCCCCCACCTCAAACCTTAAAGTCCCTTTTGCTAGTGCCCTTTGTTGCCAGTTAACAAACGGGGGCATATGTATATATCTCTGCCCTTTGCTTTTTCATCAACTGTATCAACATACATAGCTGTGCCTTTATTCTTTTTCATAGCAGCAAGTATTCCATTGTTTGGATGTAACTAGTTTCCTGTTGGTGGTCATTTTGATTATTCCTAATATTTATGACCACTGCTTTTATAAATATTCTTATAAACATGTTTTTATACTCTGTGACAATATTTTATGTTATATTCCTAGAAGTATAACTGGCCAAATTCAAAAGAATATTGATGGTTGGTGGAGATAGTACATGCATTTAAAATTCTGATAAATGTTGCCAAATTTAGAGTATAATTTTAGAAGGTGGAAGGTTTCTCATGTAGTCCTATTTGCCTAGTGGATTATTTGTGATTTTTTTTTAACGTAATCAGGGTCCACTTTGCATATTTGCCAAGTATATAACTTTAAATGCTCATATTAGTGACTAACTCTTCAAATGCAGTTGAAAATAGTTAAAAGGAAATATCAATTAGTACTAAGATTCTTATTTTTTCTTTCCCAAAAAGACTTGCAGGGGAGTATCATCTTTCTTGAGGTTATATTTGTTTTAAAATGCTAGGGGTTCCTCTTTTCGTTCTCTGAGGGTGAGAATATTTGATCCAAAAAATTAAATAACTTTTAGAAATGCATCTTGAAAATGAAATAAGGTTTTGCTGCCAGGTGAGTGAAAACAGTAAATGGAAGTAAGATTTGAGTTTTCCCATCTTGCTCAAACCCAATGAAATTATGATGCTTGGCCAAAAAAAAAAAAAAAAAGGAGAGTTGAAGTTAAAATTCCTGTGTGAGGTTGTCAAATTCTCACGCTGTATATTTTCTTTCAGATTCCTTTGTTTCTTCCTCTTCCTCTCAGCCTGTATCTCTATTTTCGACCTCACAAGGCAAGTCTGTCATTTTTTTGTGTGCATTTATAAAAGAAAAATGTTGAGAAAGAGGCTGTAACTGGGGATATGAGGCACAAGTTTTCTATTGCTCCCAAATCCCTTGAAATAAAATCTGTAAACCAATTCTTCATATTTAGCAGTTTGCATTGGATTTCCTATAAAAGTTAATAGATTAAGGCTAGGTAGGTGGACTCTTTTAACAGAGCAAAAGCTTTAGGTATAGTTTTGAGCATTTCTTAAAGGTTATAAACTCAGCCACAGAATTTAGAGCAGACAGAATTGTGGCTCAGAAAACAACTCACTGCAGGATGCATTTAACTTACTGATTTGCAGTTGTGTAACTGGTTTAGAGAGGTAGTAGATTTGGAAAGACAGTATAAAAGTGTGCTTCCGCTGAACTGCTAATCCATCAACCTGGCTAGAGTACTTTAGTGTGAATTTATCTGAGATTTGTCCCAAGAGCTAGGCTCGTACCAAATTGCCTAGGGACATTGAACAAGTCAGTTGACTTTTTGAAAAGCAAGGGTTGTTTTCCTAGGGATTGTGGGGTTACTTGTTTGTTTAATTTCCCAGCCAGTGAAGAAGGGAATTGGAGTGTGATAGCTGTATGTGGGGGTAGCACTACCAAGAATCTGCAAGGGAGAGCACATTTGCACTGATAATAAAGTACAGTTTCATTTCTGTGGTTGTACTTGACCTAAAATATAGGTCAGTGGAAAACCCTTATTTTAAAAAAAGGTAATTAAACTCACTAGATAGGTCTGAGAAGCCCTGTGCAAACAGATTATTGTCCCTGCTGGAATTGTCCCATCTGTAGATGCAAAGTGTGAATGCTGGTTTGGTAGGAAGACTTTGACCTTATAAGAATAAAAATATAATGGGATAAAGTGAACAAGTATATTTTTTCAGGGGTTTAATCTGCTTCTTAGAAAGCATGGTAGATAATTTATTGCTTTTAATTCAGACTGATAATATTAGATCCCCCCCAGCCCCTTTGTAATGTGTCTCATTGTGTGAATTTGGGTATCTTGGGGTCAAATCATGACCTCTAAAATTAAGCATTTATATGGGCCGCCTGGGTGGCTCAGTCGGTTGAGCGTCCGACTTTAGCTCAGGTCATGATCTCACAGCTTGTGAGTTCGAGCCCCGCATCAGGTTCTGTGCTGACAGCTCAGAGCCTGGAGCCTGCTTCAGATTCTGTGCCTCCCTCTCTCTCTCTGCCCCAACCCACTCACATTATGTCTCTGTTTCTTTCAAAAATAAATAAACATTAAACAAAAATTTTTTAATTAAGCATTTATATTAAAAGATAGATATTTTGTGAATACTAGAAAATAACTGAAATCTACAAAGAGACTCAACATCTGGAGCCCAACCAAATGATATTTTTAATTTTTTTTCTTTATGAGAAATTTAATAATTTAGGCAAGTAGGTGTTACATGTATTCTACTCTGGAAGATAAACTGGTAAAAATATCATAGTGTAAATGGAACAAATCATTACATTCTCTCTGTTGTAAATATTTGAGATCTTTTAAAATAAATTCTTCATGCTTATAACTTTTAGTCACTTTTTTCAAAAAAGGGGATAATTGATATCCTGATATCGTAAATAGTGTAACAGTGTAAGCCAAGCACAACATCCCTAACATACGGAATGTTGACAAGATAAGTGTCATAGCTTCAAAAATTATTTTAGGTCCTGTTAGGAAAAATACACATACATTCAAGTAGAATGGAGGTAAATAAAGGATTTTGTTAATTAAAAACTAAGGTTTAAGTAGACTTCAGTGGCATAGTGAGTTTGTAAAAGAAAATAGATTTGCCATTTTTCCTTCTTGCTTATAGCTATTTTGACCAGTGCAGATTTAGGATAATGTTATTGTTAAAAAGGGTATCATAAAGTGGCAGTTTTGGGGTTTTTTTTAAGCTTATTTACTTATTTTGAGGGGGGTGGGGAGTAGCAGAGAGAGAATCCCAAGCAGACTTGTGCTGTCAGCACAGAGCCCAACACAGAGCTTGATCCCACAAAATCAAGAGTCGGACACTTAGCCAACTGAGCCTCCCAGGTGCCCAGTAGAGTAACAGTTTAAAAAGCTGTACCCCTGAAGGTCCCAGGAACGGAGGCTCAGCAGACTGAGCCACCCAGGCGCCCCTCCATTTCTTTTTAAATAAACTGTACTCCTGAGTTGGTCCTTTTTAGTCTTCTTCTTATTGATTCCCTTTTTCTCATCAATAGTCTAGGCTGTATTAGTACTAACATTTTTCTCTTGCAAAAACAAACCAAAAAAAACCAAAACAAAACAAAAAAACCCACGTAATGGAAAAGTAACCCAATTGGTGCTCGACTTCATTGTCAAGTCTAGAGATCAGCCTGTTGTTTGAGGAAACACCTTGGCAAGTAATTAGGTATATTCTAGAATAGCCAAGAATGGTAGCTTCTAGAATGCCTTAATAAAAATGAGGAAAGAGGATGTTGATGTCCTTGATTAACTGGCTTAAAAACCCTGGGGAGAATAGCTGAGACCAGTCTGGCCCAATGCAGGACTTTCAAAGTGACTGCTGCTACCACCAGGAACCTTGAGGAGCACCTGGGTGGCTCAGCCGGTTAAGCGTCCAACTTCAGCTCAGGTCATGATCTCATGGTTTTGTGAGTTTGAGCTCCACAATGGGCTCTGTGCTGACAGCTCAGAGCCTGGAGCCTGCTTTGGATTCTCTGTCTCTCTGTCTGTCTCTGTCTCTGTCTCTCTCTCTCTCTCTGTCCCTCCTCTGCTCATGGCTCTCTATCTCTCTCTCAAAAGAAATAAATCATTAAAAAAAAAAAAAGAGGAACCTTAAGTCCATCACTGGCATCAACCCAACTAACTAATCTGTCTCTGGCTTCCATAGCCCTTGACCATTTATTTAGTCTTGGAGAATTGTGTCTCACTTTTATGTATCTAAACCATATTAAGCAATATGTAGCAGTTATTGAGTAGGACGTTTTCATATTTAAGAATGACATCTTCAGTCCTAAAATAGTTATCATTATTGGCCTTCAGGGCTATCCCATTTACAAAAAACTGCCATTAATTTGGACTGAATAAAGGAAGGACAGAAAATAATATTATATAATATTTATAAAATTATATAATATTTATAAAATTGTACTACTTTGAAGTATACAGCTATTTAAATTAGCAAAGTAAACTTTTTGACAGCTATTAAATACATTTGTGATGACAATAGAATACTCCATTTCTTTTTATTTATTTATTTATTTATTTATTTAAGTTTATTTATTTACTTGGGGGGAGGGGCAGAGAGAGAGGGAGAGATAGAATCTGAAGCAGCCTCTGCACTGTCAGCACAAAGCCTGATGTGGGGCTCGAGCTCACAAACCAGCGAGATCATGACCTGAGCCGAAACCAAGAGTCAGACGCTCAGCTGACTGAGCCACCTAGGCGCCCCTCCGTTTCTTTTTAAATAAACTGTACTCCTGAGTTCGTCCTTTGTAGTCTTTTTCTTATTGATTCCTTTTTTCTCATCAAGCAGAATTTAATTTCAGCCTAATCCCTGAGTATTTCAAAATAGGGGAATACATTTTCACGGTGTTTTCCTGACTGTAAAACAAGGATACCAACAGAGGTATAGACGTAGGATGTGGCTCATTTTTATTGAGCTTTTACCTTGTTCAATACTTGATGAGAACCATCTCATTTACTCCTCACAGCCAGTTTTATGGAGGAAAAGGCACTACTAGCTCTTTTACCAGATGAGAACACTGGGTTTAAAATGGTGCAATAACTTGCTCAAGATCACAGAGTGACAGATGGAGAACTCCAAAGTCCATGCCCATAAACACTGCCTATGGTAAAGTATATTAGTCGCAGTTTAGGGTTTGCGGATATTTTTTAGAGGTGTCATTTTCAGGTTGATGTTACAGTCATGAGAGCAGGGGAAGAGGCAGAAATTACTATTTGAACCATATTACTGCTGTTAGTGATATAATTTAGTATCATTGGGGATATGTGCTCCCTCCGTCAGCACAAAATCAAACTGAAATTTGGTTTCTACTTTTGAAACCTTTGATAAGAGTGGAGGCTGGAAAATACTCTGGTTTTCTTTAGAAAACATGGAAGAAAAGTAGGTGAAAATAAGATGGGAAAGAGAGGAACCACCTACCCTGGAGAGCTGGGAGCACATTTGCAGTAATGAACATTTGCATTCAATTTGAGTAATGCAGTAGGCATCTGGAATAGGAAGTTAAACACTGAACTTTGGGGCAAGTATTGAGGGAAGAAATTTGCCAGTTACAGCCTTTTTTTTAACAAAACCAAAACATTTTTCTTTGTACAAAAGAGACTTTTGTTTAGGATCTAGCTTGGCTGCAAAGTGTCTGCTGGCTAACTTCCTATTTTGATGCTGTGGCTGAAAGTTGCTGATACTGTTTTGCACGAGAATTTGTCTTTTCCTGTTTTGTGAACATGAGAAAATTCAAGTGTAGGAAAACCTATACCTGAATATTTCAAGCCTCCTTTGTATGAATATGCATAGTATTTCTTCACTGACGTGTATGGTTTTCCATGTTCCAGCTATCCTTTTAATTAAAAGTAATAAATTTCCTTAGTGAGGGGGTGGGGGGAGTAACCAGACAGTAACTATAATGATTCTAAGCTATTCACTCTTTTTAGGAAGAACTCTGATGACATTATTGTTTACTTGTTTCCTAGATCACAATGTTTTCAGTAGTTAAGTTACCAACACCTAAATACAAATACTAAATCTTTTTTGAAAAGGCAGTTTGGGGAATAAAAGTGAAGAGGAGCTGTTTTGAAGGATAAACAACACATGAAGGGCCTTTTTCAATTCCAGTGCATTTACTTGGTGTGAACACAGTGCTTACTTGGAAGTTGATTTTTCATTCTGCCATTTTTAACTCCCCTCCTTGTTCTGTGAGGTAAAATACTGTAGGCATAGGAGAGAGGAACTTCTTCCAGAACTCCCACACCAAAGTC